ATTCCTTTTGAGATAAAGGCCAACATTTCATTTGCCTTCCTTACTCCCGCTGAACTTGTGATTCATGCTCAAAGGCCTCTAGTCCCTCTGTTCTGTAGCTTTCTGCAATCTTTCTCCCAGCCTCATTCTCCAGGGGGACTATGTTAGCTTTGACCTCTCTTCCTTTCTATATGGTTAAGGGAACTCTTGCTACGTGACTTTTTTTCCTTTCAATTTTATGCTATCTTTAACTTCCCTGGTTAACCATGGTTGGCTTATCCCCTTAAAATTCTATCTCACTGAGCTATATCTTGGCTGTGTGCCATGGACGATTTCTTAAGCATCTGCCATTGTTCCTCAACTGTCTTTGATGCTGAACTCCTTTCCTAATCTACTCCAGCTAGATCTGCTCTCATTCCTTTGTACTTACCCTTACTTAAGCTTAGCACAATTATTTCTGACCCAAGTTCCTCTAAAACTAAAATGTTAAATTCTGCCATGCTGTAATTGCCATTTCCTTGGGGATCATTACTCTGACACCATTTAATAAAACTGTCTCATTAGACATCATCTGATTCGAAATAGCCTGATTCCTGATTGGATCCATGATAAATACTCAGAAACTATCTGAAATATGCTCTATGAATTCGTTCTTGTGGCTACTTCAGCCAATCTGACTATTTCAATCTTCATGAAGATTAAAGTTGCAATTAATGTACTGTTTTTTTTAAAAAAAAATCCTCATTCTCCTGATTTATTCTCTGTCCCATTGTATAGCTATTGTTTGGGGTCCTATAGATTATTTCTACCAATCTTCTTCCACCTTTTGTATTTTTTACCTTCACCCATGTGGATTCTGATCAAAGATCATTACCTGCTATCATATTACTCTGACCAGCTTAGTCCGCTTCTTTCCTCCAGTACTCACATGTCTTATCCACAAAGATGACAACTTGGTTCCTCGGTCCCTGTTGGTCTGATTTATGTCTGGGTTTACTAACAATTAATTGGTTCTATTTTTTGGCATAGCCCTTGCAAGTGTGAGAATTACATCCTCAGGCGAATGGAGTTAAAATACACATTAACCACGTTCTCATTGAATGCTAGAACAGGCTTGATTGGACAGTAGTTGCTTTCCTGCACCCACCATTCTCTCCACCGTCATCAATTGTCAAACTTATCTTTCTTTCTAAAGGATTCAAATGCACATTGCATTGCATTGCAAAAACGCTTTCCTTTACAATGTTGCCAATTTGATATCTATCAATCAAGCATCTTTCCCCACAACCCTGCCACTCCGCACCCCCTCCCCCCCCGCCAACTGTCCTGGGACAACTTTCCTCTTCAAATCTCTGTGCTTTTCAACATTGTTGAGTAGATAATCAAGCATGAATGGCTTTCTTTCACACCAGCAAAAAAGGGTGAGATGAGCAGATGCTCTTTTTATGCAGCAAGTTGTTCTGAATGGTATTCAATTACAATTGGTTTTTGTGTTTCCCATGTCACTACATGACTGCACTTCAAAGGTATTAGCTGTATTGGGATTTCCTGAGATGGTGAAAGACGTCAGAGAAATGCAAATTCTTTCTCTCTTCCTTAACTCTTAAAATCCATGATTTTCATCACTCTTTGCATAAACCTCTTCATTACTGTCTGTAAATTTGCGTTCATTCAAAACTCTGCCTGTATCCTAAACCTTTACCAAGTCATGTTCATTTATCATTTCTGTGTTAACTAACCAGTATTAGCTTCTGGTTAAGCAATGCCTGAAAATTATAATTTCTACCCTTGTTTTCAAATCCCTGCATGCCCTTGATTAATTTCTCCATATTTATTCTATGATAATTCCCCTTATTTTCTTAAAAGTTCTGTAAAATCTCCCCTTAGGCTTCTGACTGGACCAATATTTGCCCCTCTATCAACATTATTAAAATAAATATTATCTGTCCATTCACATATTGATGTTGGGAGCTTGCTGCTGGAAAATTAGTTGCCACATTTCCTGCATTATTGCACAGAGCATAATTCAAACTCCTTGACCATCTCAAAGCAATTTGGGATATCCCTGGCACGGTGGCTCAGTGATTAGCACTGCTGTTGCATCGTGCCAGGTACCCAGGTTCAATTCTAGCCTCAGGCAACTGTCTGCGTGGAGTTCGTACATTCTCCCTGTTTCTGTGTGGGTGTCCTCCAGGTGCTCCGGTTTCCTCCCACAGCCCAAAGATGTTTAGGTGGGTTAGATGTGGGAAATGCAGGGGATTGGGCCTGGGTGGGATGCTCTTCGGAAGGGCAGTGTGGACTTGTTGAGCCAAATGGCCTGTTTCCACACTGCAGGGATTCTATGATCAGACTTTGTAAAAGGCTCTGCTTAAATGCAAATCTTTCTTTTTCCCTGATAAGGAGAACAATCCTAGATTCTCCAGTCTCTTGACATGACTGAAGTCCATCAGTCCTGATGCGAGTCTGATAGCCCTCCTTTATACTCCTTCCAATGTCTTAACTTCTTTGACAAATGCAAGTTGAGTGCTTTGTTGAAATTCATTCACATTTCTTGTTCCACTAGCTGATTCTTATTTTCTTGTATAACACAGTGTGGAGCTGGAGGAACACAGCAGGCCAGGCAACATCAGAAGAGCAGGAAGGCTGACGTTCCGGGTCGGGAACCTTCTTCAGAAATGGGGGAGGGGAAGGGGGGTCTGAAATAAAAGGGGGGGGGAGCAGTGATAGCAGGTAGGTAGTGGTGGGGATTGGTCAGTGAGGTGGGAGGAGCGGATAGGTGGGAGAGAAGACGGACAAGTCAAGGAGCCGGGGATGAAGCTAGTAAAGGTGAGTGTAGGTAGGTAGTGGTGGGGTTTGGTCAGTGAGGTGGGAGGAGAGGATAGGTGGGAGAGAAGACGGACAGGTCAGTGAAGCGGGGATGGGGGGGGTGCGCTGGTCTTGGGATGAGCTCAGGGGTGGAGAAATTTTTAAGCTCGTAAAGTCCACATTGAGACCATTGGGTTGTAGGCTTCCAAGGCGGAATATGAGGTGCTGTTCCTCCAGGTTCCAGGTGGCATCGTTGTGACACTGGAGGAGGCCCAGGATGGACATGTCGTTCAGGGAGTGGGAGGGGGAGTTGGAGTGGTTCGCGACTGGAAGGTGTTGTCGTTTGTCGCGAACTGAGCACAGGTGCTCTACAAACTGGTCTCTGAACCTCTGCTTGGCATCGGCAGTTCTTACTATCTCTTATTTTCTTGTCCTTTGTTTGTAAGTATGACCTGTTTGAATTAAATTCTGCTTGCAGCAAAAAGCTTACAGGCATCTAATTGGTTTGCACATTTTAACCCTTCTTTCATATTCCCTATGGGTTTTTATCTGAGAGAGAAAAGACCCAGAATGGGCTGCCTATAACCTTATGGCGTAGCTTTAATTTCAGGAATCAACCTTATACTCCTTTCAATAACTGGAAACCCTTTCTTGAAATATGAAGTTTTTAAAATGGTTACTCATGTCTATTTCTACAACTGCTACTGCCATAAGAACTTGCATTTATATAGCACCTTCAATGTGGCCATGCAGCACAAGGAGCTTCACAGGAATGAGACAGAAAATTGATTCTGAATCACATCAGGTGATGTTAGGACAGGTGGCCAACAGCTTGGTCAAGGATGTCAGCTTCAAGGAGTATCTTATATGAGAAGACAGGGATGGAGAGATGCAGATGTTTAGGAAGGGATTTCCAACACTCAGGGATAAGGCTGCTCAATACATGGTTGACAATGGTACAACAATTAAAATCTGGGACAAGCACGAGACCAGATTCAGAACCATGAAAGTTGGTCTTGAAAGTGTGGAGGGCTGAGGAAGTTAGTGGCATGGATGAGGCAACATAGAGGCGTTTAAAAACAAGGATAAGAATTTTAAAATTGGGGCAATCTTAGACTGAGTCACTCATTTCTGTGACACCTTTGCTGCCCATTTTAGTTTCTGCAATAAATGGGTTAACTGTGCTATTAACATAACTAAGGGATGAATATGTAAAGCAAGCTAGCCACTAATACTACAAATGTTTCTCGGCTGATATTCCTGTTTTCGCCATGAATCAGTGAGATCTGGTAAAAATCCAGTTGGTTCATACTTTGCCCTTTAGTGAAAGAAAAATATAAGGTTTGTATTGACATATTAGTAATGTCCCTGCACTAGGCAAGATGTCAATGTTCTAGGGATATGGGTACAAATCTCACCATGACAGCTGCTGAAATTTGAATTCAGCAAATAAATCTGGAATATAAAGATGGTAATAGTGACCATAACAACTGTATTGGATTGTTGTAAAACCCCATTTGGTTCATTAATTCAGAAGGGCTTCTGTGTGACTGGATTTCCTCAGTAATGTGGTTACATCTGAACTATCCTACGAAATGACCGACTCAATTAACACAACTAGGGTTAGGCAACACACGCCAGTCTTGTGGTGCAGTGGTAGTGTCCCTCCCCCTGAGCCAGGAGGACCCGGGTTCAAGTCCGAATAACATCTCTGTATACAAGTTGATTGTAAAATATCTACACCAGCGTTGTGACTAGCAGCCACAGCCTGAGAATGACTGAGGAACAAAATAGAATTCAATACATGTAGCCACACGTCTTACATTACAGTGGAGCCACGAAGAGATTTTGCTTTCACAGTGATCTGAGATTGAATTAATATCATTTGGTAATTGCAAAACAAAAAAAAATGTACATCTTGCTTGCATCTGACGGCAGAATATGAATTATTCATAAATAGAAACATGCAATGCATACTTCTGGATTGCAGTTTGGAACAGCGTTGTAAAAAAGTCCTTGGCAAGCCATGAGTTCCACGAGAGGTCGTCCTTGTCACATTTAGCTGTGCGTAGCTTTTCTCCTCCTCCTCCTCCTTTCTGGATCTAGTCAGTGGAAATCTACGTGACTTTTTTTCTCTCTCTCTCTTACCCCGAAAATAAAGCGACGTGCAGTCGCTGCAATAACAATTGCGAGCTGGATGAACGGGGAGACGCCATCGGCCGCACCTTTTCAGGATGAAAAGGACAGCAACCGAGAATATATGTTGTACAGAGTAGGACCAAAGGGAGGGAGCCACGGAGATGCATTTGTGCAAAAGCTGACCTGCGAACTCAAGTCCAGGGAGGAGGTGGCAGTTAACACTGAGAATCAGCATGCACGTCTGATTGTCTTTTATCAACAGACCCTGCTTCCCTCATTATCCTTGGAACTGATTGCAAACATGATTTTTGCAACTGTGAATCCTGACACTTGGCTGGATGCTGTAGGTAATCTGGGCAGAAGGTTCGCTCCAGGTTTTTAACCTGGCATTGGTGGCTATGTTCCTGGGGAATATAGGAGACTGTAGGTCATCAGCGGAGACCTGGGTAGAGGTGCCAGGAGGTCCTCGGCTTCAGCTCTGCACTTCGCTGCTGAACGCGGGGATGGCTGCGAGATGCATCGGATTGTACATGCTGCTGCTGTTCCAGCCCGTCTCAGCATCAAACGGTAAGCAGGAGGAGAGGGAACAAGGTGGAAGGGGCTGAGGGTGCGGGAGCAGCGTCCATGGAAAGGCGACCGTGTCCAGATTTCTAGTGATGGCCTTCTTCATAAAGTACCCCCATCAGACTGATTCTTACCGGAGCCGTGCTTACAGTTCACAAGCACATCAAGAATGTACAATTCTTGTTCAATTTACTCCGCCGTCTTTCTTTCAGATCTGCATTGATTCTAAGTGTGGCAGATTGGTATTGTTAGTGTCAGGCGATCTGTTGTTAAAGCTGTGCCCTTGGCTGAACGGTGCAATAGCCCGGAATTTGCTATTCCCCGTTTTTAAAAACGTCTCGTTGTATGGATATCAGTGAGCCCTGCTTAGTTTGTGTGAAAGAAAGAGAGTTTGCATTTGTGTGGCACCTTTCACATCTACAGTGTGGCCAACATGCTTTTGCAGCAATGAATCCTTTTTCTGAAATGTGGCCACTATCGGTAGGTAGTGCAGGAGAAAGCCCATCACCCTCTGTATTGCCATTCAGTTACACCATGGGTGATGCGTACCTTAACTCCATTGACCTGTCTTGGTTCCTTTTACTGTTAACGCCCGAGCTGAATGAAAATTGATCATTCTGACAGCTTCAACAGGTTTTTATTTGGAGAGAGTTGCAGGTTTCTATTGCCCTTTGTTTGGTATTCCTCCTGACATCAACCTGGCCCTGTTTCTCAGTTGACGCAGCACACCAGCCATCCCTTTCACCAATAATACTTTATATGTATCTACGCTATCAACTAATGTAGTCGTCTTAAACTTCTCTCTTGGATCACCACGTAAACTTCTGTACTCAAGACTAAACAAGTCTACTCCAAGTAATCTGCCCTCATCATTTAGCTTTTAACCATGGCATCATTCTGGTGAAAATGCTGTGTGCCATGTAGTTAACACCGCAACTGTTTAGTGTGCAACAAGCTCCCACAAAAAGCAGTGAATTTGCTTTTGGTGATGTTGACTGTGGGATAAAAACTGTCCATACACTGAGAAGTTCATCTCTGCTGTTCTTTTGAGTATCAAACGGTCTTTTCTCCCCCTATCTGAACCGACTGAAATACTTTTGAGGATGTATTTGAAAAATGTGCCTCTGACAGAGTAGCATTCCCTCGGTGTGCCACCTGACACTAAATATTCAAGGTATTGGTTTAAAGTTCCAGAGCCTATTTTCCAGGCCATTGAATATATAAAAAGTACTGAAGATTTTTCTAAATTGTGGTGCAGTACTGAGGGGGTGCTGCGCAGTCAGAATGTCATCTTGTAAGTGAGACATTAAACTGAGGCCTCATTTGTCATCTGAAGTTGATGAAAATGACCTCATGACACTATTTGAAGCAGAAATGCATAATTCTTTCTGGTGTGGTGTGTAATATTTATCCTTCAACCAACTCCTAAAGTAGTTTATCTAGACCTTATTGCTGCTTGTGGGAGCTTGTTATGCACTAATTTGTTCTTGCTTGCTACAATGACTGCATTTCAGGTACACTTAATTGGCTTTAAAGTACAAACAACAAAAAGTAGTACTGCACAGGAACAGGTCCTCCTGCGCACCAAGACTGTATGGATACGTGATACCTTTCTAAGCAAAAATCCTTTTATCTCTATGTGGTCCATATCCCTGTATTCCCTACCTATTCATACATCTTTGTATATTAAGTACTTTGGGTGTCCTGAGGCAAATAAATGCAGTGTAAAAATTTTAATGTTTCATCTTATTATTCCAATTTCTTTCCCCTCATAAACTTTAATGAATTGCTGATGTCATGTTGGAGCAATAGCTTCTTTGTTGAGAATAAGAGATACAGTATGCATTCTATATTTACACTTCAGGGTAAGGTTGGAATGTTTTTGTTAACCAGCCATGTTAGTCTGTAGGCATTGCTGAGTTTTTACATTACAAATAATTCAGTGGTTATAAGATCTGCTTAATGTTTCTAAGATCACTTAAAAGACTTGAGGGGTTAAGTGCAGTGAAACTATTTCCTCTGTTGTGGGGAATCCAGAATAAGGAGGAATAATCTTCAAATTAGAGTCAGGTTGTTCAGAAGTGGTATCCAGAAGCAAGTCTTTACTCCACAAACAGTGAAGTTCCTTTCCCCAATCCAAACAAGCTGTTGAGGCTGGACTATATTAAAATGAGTTCAGAACTGTTTTTGGTTTATTATGTAAAGGTCTTGAGCATTGCAGAACCAAGCCAGGTAAATGTAATTGAGCTGCACAACAACTGGTAGGTGTCTTTTCCCTAGGATGGAGGATTTCAAGACTAGAGGACACATTTTTAAGGTGAGAGAAGAGAAATTTAGAAAAGACGTGAGAGGCAAATTTTTTATACAGGTGGTTCGCATGTGGAATGAACTTCCTGAGGAAGTGATGGATATGGGCACAGTTACAACATTTAAAGACACTTAGATAAGTACATGAATAGGAAAGGTTTGGCGGGATATGGGACGGGAGCAGGCAGGTGGGAATTGCTTAGTTTGGGATTATATTCGGCGTGGACTGGTTTGACCGAAGAGGCTGTTTCTGTGCTGTATGACTCAATGACTGTAACTGTGCTGTAAATAAAAAAGTGCTGGAGACCACAATGTGTTAGGCAGCCTCCATGGAGAGAGAGCAAGCTAACATTTCGAGTCTAGATGACTCTTCATCACAACTGATTCTGGTGCAGATTCCCAGCATCTGCAGTAATTTGCTCCTACTGTATAGCAATGGTCCATTTGAATGTTGGAACAGAGCTGAAGGGTTCAATGTTCTCCTCTTGTTTCCTTGATTTGGAAACAGGTGCATGATTTCTCCCTCTACATTTAGAAATGCTGAAGTAATTATGCCCCAACACAAGCATTTCCTCCGAAGCCATGAGCACCATGAACTTCTTTGTGATGAGCTTGTCAGGATCGAAGACTAAGGTCTGGAAAATATCCTCAGGGCTTGACTTAATCAAGCAGAGTCAGCATGGCTGCATGAAATGGGGAAACACCCTTGACAAATTTGTTGGAATTCTTTTGAGGAGGTAACTGGTGGAATAGATAGAGGGAAAACAGTAAATGTAATAAATTTTGATTTCCAAAAGGCTGTTGATGAGGTAACGTGCACAAAGCTACTTAATAAGATAAGTGCCCATGGTACTGGGATGTAGTATATTAGCATGGATAGAGGATTGGCTAACTATCAGAAGACAGACAGTTAGGATAAGGAGTGGCTTTTCAAGATGGCAGCCTTTAATTAGTGGTTTGCTACAGGGATCAGTGCTAGGGAATTACAACATAGATTAATGATTTAGATGAAAGTTTGAAATTACATCAAACTAGGTGGGAGAGCTCAGTAGAGACGATGACAGAATTGCCATTTTTTTCATTCACTCATGGGATGTGGGCATCACTGGCCAGCCAGCATTTATTGACCGTCCTCAATTGCCCTTGAAAATGTGGTGGTGAGATGCTACTTGAACCACTGCAGTCCATGTGCTGTAAGTTGACCCACAATGCCCTTAGGGAAGGAATTCCAGGATTTTGACCCAACAACAGTGAAGGAATGGCAATATATTTCCAAGTCAGGATGGTGAGTGGCTCAGAGGGGAACTTGAAGTTGATGGTATTCCCATGTATCTGCTGCCCTTATCCTTCTAGGTGGAAGTGGTCATGGATTTCGAAGATGCCGAGTAAGGATTTTTGGCGAATTTCTGCAGTACATCGTATAGGTAGTACATGCTGCTGCTGTGCGTTCTTGGTGGAGAGAGTGGATACTTGTGGATGAGGTGCCAATCAAGCGGGCTGCTTTTTCCTGGATGGTGTCAAGCTTCTTGAGTGTTTTTGGAGCTGCACCCATCCAGATAATTAGCGAGTATTCCATCACATTCCTGACTTGTGCCTTGCAGATAGTTGATAGGCCTTGGGGAGTCAGGAGGAGAATTACTTGCTCCTAGCCTCTGATCTGCTCTTGTTGCCACTGTGTTTATGTGATGATTCCAGTTAAGTTTCTGGACAATAATAACCCAAAGGATATTGATAGTGAGAGACTCAGTGATGGCAACAACATTGAATGTAAGAGGCAGTGGTTTTAGATTGACCCTTACTGGAGATGGTCATTGTCTGGCATTTGTGTGGCATGAATGTTACTTCCTGTTTGTCAGCTCAAGCCTGGATTTTGTCCAGATCTTATTGCGTTTGAACATGGACAGCTTCAGTACCTGAGGAATTGTGAATGGTGCTGAATGTTGTACAATCATTGACAAACATTCCCAATTCTGACCTTATGATGGCGGGGGGGGCGAAGATCATTAATGAAGCAGCTGAAGATGGACTCTAGCCTGAGGAGCTCCTGCAGAGATGCCCTGGAGCTGAGATGACTGACCTCCGGCTATGCCAACCATCTTCCAATGTGCCAGGTATGACTGCAACCACCGGAGCGTTCGCCCCCGATACCCATTGATTCCAGTTTTGCCAGGGCTCCTTGATGCCACACTTGGTTGAATTCAGTCTTGATGTCAAAGGCTGTAATTCTCATCTTGCCTTACCTCTAGAATTCAGCTCTTTTGTCCATATTTGAACCAAGGCTGTGATGAAGTCAGGACTTGAGTGACCTTGACAGAACCCGAACTGGGCGTCGCTGAGCAGTGATGGAATATAATGAGGAAAAATGTGGGATTATGCACTTTGGCAGGAAGAATAGAGGAACTGCATATTGTTTAAAAGGAAAAAGCTGCTGAACTGAGGGTGTCGTGCATAAATCACAAAAAGCTAGAATCCAAGTTCAGTGGATAAGAGGGGAAGCAAATAAAATGTTGCCCTTCACTTCAAAGGGAATGGCATATAAAAATAGGGAAGTCTTGCTAAAACTATACAAGGCACTAGTCAGACCACATTTAGAATATAGTGAACAATTTTAGTGCTCTTATCTAAGGAAAGATAAAATGACATTGGAGGCCGTCTGGAGAAGGTTCACTATGTTGATCCCAGGCATGGAAAGATTT